CCACGGAATCAGATTAAGATAAATGCTTATCAAATTATCCCTACTCTGGTAAGCTCTCCCTTTTTATTTTATTTTTTCATTATGTTATGTTAGTCACCATACAGTTTTTGATGTAGTGTTCAGTGATTTATTATTTGCATATAACACCCAGTGCGCATTACAACATGTGTCCTCCTTAATACCCATCACCTGGCTACCACATTCCCCCACCCCCCACCCCTCTGAAACCCTCATATTGTTTCTCAGAGTCCATAGTCTCTCATGGTTCGTCTGCCCCTCTGATTTCCCCGCCTTCAGTTTTCCCTTCCTTCCCCTAATGTCCTCCATGCTATTCCTTATGTTCCACATATGAGTGAAACCATATGGTAATTGACTTTCTCTGCTTGACTTATTTCACTTAGCATAATCTCCTCCAGTCCCATCCATGTCTATGCAAATGGTGGGTATTGATCCTTTCTGTTGGCTGAGTAATATTCCATAGGAAACAAAACTAAGAGGCAACCCACAGAATGGGAGAAGACATTTGCAAATGACATTACAGATAAGGGCTGATATCCAACATCTATAAAGAACTTCTCAAACTCAACACCCAAAATACAAATAAGTCAAAAAATGGGCAAAAAACATGAACAGACACTTCTCCAAAGAAGACATACAAATGGCTAACAGACATATGAAAAATGTTCTCCCTCTTTATTTTTAATTTAAAAAATACTTATTTTTTGTAGTAAAAGTAAACTAAAGAAATAAAATTTCAACAGATTCTGTTCAGTAGTAGCTAAAACAAAATTAAAAATTTTAAGGCTGGAAATTAAATTATAAATCATAAAGCGCAAACAGCTATAAAAATAATTAAAATGATAAATTGCATTTACATTGGATTTAAATCTCTGAAGTATTTGCTTATAAGATTTCAATTGATTCCTATAGCAGTTTTGAGTGGTAGGTTAAGATAGAGAATATTATTTTCATTTTACATAAGTATCTGAAATTCTAGAAAGTAGTCCAAGCTCTAGTTAACATTTTTCTTTTGTTTAATTTTTAAAAATGTGACTTGGCAAACATTCTTTTTCAATATGAAGAATAAGTGAGAGAGCAAGAAATTGAACCCAGAGAACTAATAATTTAATATAAACAATATAGAATTTAGAATCAGAAGACCTGACATAAATAAGCTTTTGATTTTGAGTAAGTCACTTCATCTCTCAGGTTATTTTTTTTTAAATACAATTTAGTTTCTTCAATATATATGTAACATTTAAAATTATCTTCCACATTATTAAAGAAAATATGAATTTAGTATCTGTAGTTGAATGTGAGATGCCTAAAATCAGTTCTAAATATTTCCATGGAGGTGTAAATATTATTTTTGTTTGTTATTACAAACATTTAGCTAAAATATGCTATTTCTTTCTCTTTTAAAGAGGCACCTTTAAGATTCTTGAATTAACAACTACTTGATTTTGGTAAGTGCCTTTATGTCTAGAATTTAAGCAGTAATCTAAAATAGAATTGCTTTGTTTTTTTAAAGATTTTATTTATCTATTCGAGAGTGAGAGAGAGAGAAAACGAGAGGGGTGAGGGGCAGAAGGAGAAGCAGGCTCCCCGCTGAGCAGGGAGCCAGATGCAGGGCTCAATCCCAGAACTCCGAGATCATGACCTGAACCGAAGGCATACCCTTAACTCCCTGAGCCACCCAGGCACCCCTAAAATAGAATTGTTAGGTGAAGAATGTGACCTTGATATTGTTAAGTAATATTGTTTCAATTTTAATTAAATGATATTTTGGCTTTTGAAATATTTTATATCTTGTGTATACCTTCTTGATTCATAAATGTCAGTTACCTGTGTAACTTTTTCATGCATGTTTTATGAATATTTTATAAAATATAATAAATTAATTAAGAAAATAAATTATAAGAAATTTTCTCTGTATTGATGATGCATTCAGCCAGAAGCAATAGCTCTGGGGGGAAACTGTCACAAACTTAATGTTCACAGAGATATGTACCATGTCTTTGGGTGGAGCCAAGAAGTGCAGATTCAGCATTTCTGTTTGGTAGAAGATATATATTATCAAGAAAGTTTCCTAGACAAGTCAAGCTACTCTAAAATAAATTCTTTGCATCATTTTCTCTGGAAAAATCATCATTTTTTAATACCCAAAGCCTACTTTTCATAGTTTCTCTCTTAGATATTTCACCCATTGCTTTAAAGCCATAGTGGAGATCCAAGGAAATGAATGCACATGGGTGTTGCTTTTATGCACTCACCTTTAACTTTTCTTATATTTTCCTTGCAGTACATAGGCTATCTCTTATCTTAGAATTCTGTCTCATTCAATTTATCTCCTTGTTCTTTTCATATGCCCTGCAACAAGACAAAGTTTCAAAGAAATTAGTAATAACAGCAATTTATTAATGATTTTACCATGTGCTGGTCACTGTTCTGAGTCCTTTGCTTATATTAACTAATTCATGCTCACAAAAAAATTACAAAAAAAGGACTCACTGTTCTGAGTCCTTTGCTTATATTAACTAATTCATGCTCACAAAAAAAAGTCCTTTGCTTATATTAACTAATTCATGCTCACAAAAAAATCTAGTTAATATGATGAGCTGATTTGAGGTAAGGAAACTGAGGCCCATGGGGTTTAAATAAGTTGTTTGTGATCACCCCGCAAAAGTCAAAGAGCCGAGCCTAATACAGATTTCTGGCCCTAAGGGTCAAACCCTCCCCTACTGATGCCAAACTATACCCCAAGTCCAGATAGGGTATTTATTGAGAGGATACTTTTTAACATTAGGTACACTGTCACAAATTTGATTTGTTTTGTCATGTCATTTTGGTCTTCCTAATGATGAAAAAGAGGCAACTTCACAAAATAATCTTTTATGAGAAAAATACTAACATAGCTACTATAGATACGAACTAAAAATACAGTTGTATTTTATAAATAGCAATATTCCCTTTGCTATTATTATTTATATATTTATTCTACATTTTTAAAAAGCTGATCATGTGCTCCATCATGTGAGGGACATTAGATAGAAATAAGATGCCAAACTTACCCTCATTAAGCTCTGTTCTAGACAAGGACACAGAAATGGCAATACGATGTGCTAAATGTTAAGTTAGAGGCGTGAGGATATGGTGGTACAAGAAAGGTCAAGTGATGCATCTGAGTTAAGTCCTAAACTAAGTCCTCTCAATAATGAGACTAACCAAAGCAGTGGCAGCAGAAATAATAAGACAAAAAATCCTGAATTTAAAGAAAAATTACAAAAATTATAAAAGAAACAGAAACCAAAAAAATGTAAAATTGATTCTGAAGAATTTAATAATTGTAAAGTGATTTCTTAAAATATCAGCCCAAAGTCATTCTGCATAATAAAATTCTTTTAATAAAATCTAGACTTCAAGTAGATCAAAAGGATTAAAATATAGGAAGCAGTAATATTTTATGTCTAATAAACTATTTGGGAAATAAAAGAAATTAAATATTCCTTCAAAAATTGGCTGAAAATGTAAATATTTACCATTTAATAAATAAAGACGAACATTACTTTTGTATGCTAGATTGAAGAACCTATTAACTTTCATTCACTCATTAATTGTTCAACAGTTATTAAAATCCTACTATGTGCTAGATATCATTTGAAGCACTAGAAAATAATTAACTAATAATAGTTATAAATAATAACATTCTGCCAGACTAGGGTGGGTGAGTGTTTGTGTGGTTCTATAACAAACATACATTATTTCAGGAGATAAGTCTAGTAGATAATACAGCATTGTCTTTTTCCTTTTAGGTTTGACCAGAAAATCTATCTTCTACATTTTCTTATCTACCATATTACTTCATACTACCAGGTTGGACAGACCTGTTAATAAGGCAAAAATATTGAGCCAAAGGAAAACTGTGCAGAATATTTCCTGAGTCATTTATACTTCTCCTGTTAATTCATGTTGAGTATACTGGGTCTGTATTGTGGTTTCATACAAACTGGGCTGATGATTATTTAAGATGTTTTCATCATTCTTTCTGATTTGGAAAACCACATTTCTTTCCCCCCTCAAAATAAAATTTCAATTGCATTCTTTGGTGTATAATCATGATTTCCATTGTTCATACTGGCCCACTAGGCTACTAATGATAATATAAAGAGTCCTTTACCAATTGACTTTATATGAGCTTGGCTATCACTGACATAACTTTACATTTAGATTTTACTTCTCATAATGGATAACCGTGAACACTACTAATTATATTCCCCAACCACAACTGGGTTTACAGTACTATTCAGCCATCATCTTACCATCTTTCTGATTTATTCACGCTCATAATGTGCCACAGCCTCAATCCCAAACCTTCACCAGAGCCCTCAATCCTCCTCTCAGTTCACATTGTCCCACGAAAGAAGGGAGCCAGGCATTGAAAATATAAACCTTCCAAGGCCCCCTATTAATGGTATCTAACAAATGAAGAAACATAAAGAGCAAATGAGTGGGTGCATGCGTATATTATAAGGAAAACTCTAAGGGGATGAATATATCCAGAAAAGACAGAGGGAAGAGAAGTTAAAGGAAAGTAGATCAGAGGTCAGAAAGGAAGGGATAAAGATGAAGATTATTGAGCTTAGAAATTTGTGTTACACATTTGGTTGTGATGGGAAGACACTGGAGGGGTGTTCATAGGAGAGTGACATTCTAAGATGTGTGTCTTTGGTGAAAAGATTTGAAAATTGAAGACTTTTTCTTTGACTTCATAGAATATTCCAATCCTTTAGCCCTTTCATTATATTCCATTCTATTCAATCCCACTTAGCTTCATTTCCTTTCTTATTCAGACTGAACACTCAAGGATTTTTTTTCAGAAGGAAGTAACATATGACATATACTTTGAAGGAGTGGAACAGGAAGAAGCTAAGAGAAGTTTTCTTTGTCTTCATAGAACACTTCATGCCTTAACACTCTGATTATATTCCATTCTCTCTATTTCCTATTAGCCTCACTCCCTTCCTTACACAACCCAGACTTTATCTTTGACTATTTCAAATATTATCTTCATACTACATATAACACTTCTGCCTCTCTGCACTTAATACTGTCTGGAAAATGCCCAACCATGAGCTCAAAATCTACTGCCACGCCATCCAAGCAACTGAATCCTAAAGTAAGTTAGTTTTCTGAACTTTTTTGTCATCTAAGAGTGTTTATCAAACTTTGTCTTGTTGGCATTAGAGTTAGCTGTCTTCCTCAACTCTCCTTATACTTTCAATTAATCCTACTAAAAAACAACCTTCCTTTCTATTTTATAGACTATATTGAGTCCATTAAGCCCTAATACTATCCACCACCTACTACAATACTTCAATAACTTGATAAATCTCAACATAACTTTAACTGTCTCCTTCAAGTCTCAAAGACTATGGTGACCTTCCTTTATGTCAAAGCTAATAGCTCTTTTGATGCTTTTTAAAAATTTCCTCTGTAATCTCTCCTTTTAAATAGATTGTGGTAAAAGTAATAATGATGATTATAATGCATGAAACTGACTGAGCAGCTATGTGCAGGGTAATTTATATATTTGCCTCAATTAACCTTACAACTATTACTCTTACATTACTAATAATGATTAATATACCTTACAGATGAGGAAATTGTAGTAGAAAATGAATAAGTTGCCCCCAGGCATACTATTCTATTTAGACCTATTAAGATTTACTTCCTGGCAATTTTTATAATTCTCTTCCTTTAGCTATTTCTTCTAGGTATTTTGCATGGACACCTCTTCTTTACACAAACATTGATATTTTCTAGGACTCTGACTTCAGCCACTTCTTTTTAACTCTACATATTTTTCCTATATGATCTTATCCACTTTAAACTTTTTAATTGCCACATACAATTAGCCAATTAAAATCAGCTTCAAATTCTCTAGATTCAGCTTTATAACTGTTGTCCCTCAAATTTAGATAGGTGAACCAAACTGAGTCCTGAAATCTCCACATATTTGTTGGCTTCCCAAATTAAAATGTAAGCAATATGAGAGGCAATGTGTAAGCAGAATCTTACTTTAATCCCTAATAGTCAAAGCATTATCCAGTGTTCATGAATTCCCAGGTCATTCTATATATTCCAGACCTAATATTTTATTATAGTAAATTAAACTGGAGCATAGCAGCTATAATAGCTCCTTTTTGAGATCAGTAAATAATTTTCAAGGATTTGTCAAAGAGTCAGTCTCTCCAGATTCAAGTTTATCTCATTGGTAATTGGAAGAGATTTAAAAAATATTAAAGTAGGAAAACATTATAAGAATATAGCCATTGCTTGCATACTTATGGCAACAATACTTTGTAGTATATCTTTGTTATATCTCTTGTAAGTTAAAAACCTTGACAATTCCAAGAGTGTAGCTGTCAGTAACAGAGGAAAAGGCACCCCATCTCCATTACTACAAAAGCACAGGATATGTTCTGGTCCATCACTATTCTAAAATCACCTACTGTCTGTGTAGTATGATATTGTTCATAACAAAAGAAAACTACTGTTATGCTTATTTTTCACATCCATTCTTTCCAACTGTCAAATATATTCCATAGGTTTCCTATACAGTTGAATCACAAAATAATGAACTTAATAATACCCATTTTTTAGTATAACAATCTGAAATAGGGGGTTAATTAAGTTTATACCTTTTTCCCTTCTTCATTCACAAAGAAGTGATATCTCTGGAGCTTTAAATTCTGAAGGCCTTATTTTAATGTTGTCCCGAACTACCTTTTGTCCACTGAGTTGCATTTCTCATATTCTCTAGGGTCTAGAACAGTACTAAGGGACTAAGTAAATGATCAAGTGAAGGAAACAAAGGAAAGAAGAAAAGAAGAATGGAAGGAAGGGAGGGAGAGAGGAAAGAGAGGAAGGAAGGAAGGAAGGAAGGAAGGAAGGAAGGAAGGAAGGAAGGAAGTAGATCTTCAAATTCTCTGGTTCTTTCCTGGGCTGTATTGAGTCTAGTGATAAGCTAAATCAAATGCATTCTTTTTCTTTGTTAGTGAACTTTTGATTTCTAGCATTTCCATTTCATTCTTTCTTATACTTTCCCTCTCTGTGCTGAAACTATCTATATAATCTTCATCTTGTCTACCTTACCATTAGAGTCTTCCATTCAAAACTATTTAAATTCTCTGAGAGTTCCAACAAATCAGTTTAATAACTGACTTTGGTTCTGATGATTGTTTTTTTTTTAATCTGTAGACTTTTTTTTCTGAAGGCTAGACTTAGGCTATACTTTAGTAGATAATAAGGTTAATATTTTAATGGTTGTACATGAGCACTTTTCCTTCTGTGAGGCCATTAGTGGGGGAGGGGCTACATTCATTGATTCTACAGAAAGAAAATTATGTACTTGGAAAAGAGGGTTCTCTCGTCCTAACAAACCCTGCAGCCCTGACCATGATTCAGGAGGGTACCAAGCTAAATCACTTCACATTACTCTGATTACGACTTGTGCACTGCCAGCCAGTACGATGTTTTTTATCACTTCTTATTTATATTGCATATTACTAGAAATACTTGGTTGTCAATAATATATTTACAGGACAGAAGAGCTCTTTCAGTTTTTAATATTTATTCATAGTAGGTAATTCATGTTTGTAACACTAATACAGAAAGAGATACCACCCTGTTATTTTTTTAAATATTTATGTTAATCCATTTTATTCCAGGTTTAACATAAAATAAATCAAGCATAAAATTCCTTCATCACACTTTCTAGAAATGTCAAAATTCAATCAAGTAATCAATACCTGCAAAGCGTATTTAGTAATTAAGTTTAATGCAGTTCCTAAATTTGTCTTTTACTGCCACATAATGGGAACTTCCATATTTTTATGATTCTCTGAAATGAGGGGAGTAATTTAGAGCCAAATAAGTCAAATTGATAGGTTTTTATTTTTTCAGATATGATGCTGATTTACTTCAAAACAAAAGAAGTAACATTAAATTAAAGACTTCCTATAAATACCCCTGGAGGAAAGTGAGTGAGGCACAGTGTCCAGAGCAAGACCAGATCTACACCATTAGTTTCCCTCCCGGAAACAAGGTATCCTTCCCCTAACCCTGGTATAAAGATGCTTCCATTTGTAAAAGATTCTCCCCTAGGTGTCAGTTAGATAGACTTTCATAGAGTGCCTATAAATGCATATTTACATTCTCTCCCGGTTTGGAGAAGTTAGTCACACGGGGTGTTGTATAAATCTAATCCACCACACGTCTAAATGATCACTTCAAGACTACATAAGAGAAGACTCATCAGGGGAGTTTTTTTTTTTTTTAATCTCTACATTCAGACTGGACTCAGGAGTTCAGATAAACCCTAAAAGGGTGGGTTTCTTCTACTCAGGTATTCTCATGTTCCTCTGAACAACTAAAGAGTGGGGTCAGGTCATCCCCTCTCATGTAAAAGCTAGTTGAAGGGAAAAAAACTGAGGAAAGGAGAAGGGAAAATTATTATTTGAATGAGACATGAATGCTTTGTTCCTTCTGGAGCATTCTAAAGTATTAAATTACAAGTGATATATGGATAGATAAATAAACTGAGACAGTGGACAAGGGAGAAAAGATTTTTAAATATTGATAAATCTGGGATTTTCCATTCTCAAATGATTTTTTTAGAACTCTAAAATTATAATTGAGTTATCCTTTGTTGGCTGTTAATTATTCCAATAGGAACACTTTATTTTTTTATATTCTTTATGAAGAAGAAATACTTATTCATCTTTAATAGAATTGCTGATGCATAAGAGCTTCATTAAATTAATAGTCACATTAAGACAAAAGTCAAATTAAGTAAAACTATGCTTACTGGATTATCTATCATATAATAATTTAAGCTGGTATTATTTGAGCCAGTTATACAGGATTTCTGTTCAAAGCACACTAAAAAAACAGTGAATGTGCATTTTCTCACATAGTTTCTTTTATCTATATTTATCTATATTTTGGGGCCATTACATATAATCAAATTGATAGGTTCCCAAAATAATAGTGGGATAAGGGGAGGGGGGTTCTTCTAAATTATTGAAGTGCCATATAATTTGACAATTATTGGATAATTATTAGACAATATGACAATTATTATTATGGCAAATTAGACATTTGCCATATAATAAGTGTATGAAAATCTGGCTCCAACCAATTAAATCTTCCTACTTCAGAAACCCAGATAAGGCTAAAAGGAATGATTTTAAAGAGATCAATAAATATATCAGTTAACTTTATATTGTTAATCTTTAGGTCACATGTGCTGTACAATGAAGTATAGGCTAATTTAAAAATAACTGATCTATATTAAAGAATAAAATATTATCTTCTTTAGGTACAAATTCATATTTTTGTTTCACCAGTTAACATTTTTATTTTCTTTCTGCAAAAATGTTAAAACAACACCAAAGGGAAATTTTAGCACTATAAACAATTTTAGGAGATTTGTTTGATTGCTTAATTTGTTCCTCTGTTTGTTTATAATATGACCCATTCTAAAAGGATTTAAGACAGCTTGCAAAATAAGTAAAACAGAATTTTTTTAAAAAGATATAAATTGATAAGGGAAAAGCAAGACTAGGGGAAATAATATAAAGCCAGAGATGCAGTAAGCATTCCCAAATGAGATGCCATAATGCCCTATAGAGTTCTAAATATGGCTAAGATATTTGACTCTAAAATTCCTGGTAGGCAAAAACCAAAAATACATGCAAAAACAAGAGATAAGTAATATCAATGAATCTAGGACATGAAAGTATATCCGTAGCTCAAGAAAAGCCTAGGTATTGGGACCTGTCAGGAATTTCTCCAATGTTGTTTATAGGGAAAGAGAATGAGGCACAGATCTTTTGTCTCATGCATCTTTACAACTAACAAACGATGGTAAAACCTATTGGTTTCTTTCTTATGTAGCCTCTCAGCAAAAAAACAGATGTATAATACCAAACAACATTATAGCAAAGACCATCCAATATGTGGTCAAAACCATGTTAAACAGGTAAACAGGTAATCTAAAATTAAATATATATATATGTATTTTGAGAAATGGATGGAGTATATAATTTGCAGGGCTTCCCCCATCAGTACAATTTTGCAGCCAAGATCTTGTTATGAATTAGGCACTAAAGCATTCATGGTCTCATCAAAAACTTGAAAATATTTCATTTTATTGGAATATATATAGCATACAAGTAATACATTCTCACTTCACAAAAAAATTATATACTATAGAAGATAAAATGAAATTATGGAAGTTATTTTAAAAATCAGACATGATCTAATTAGAAATAACCCATTAAATACTTTAGCTATATTTAACATCTGAATATTCATTTGGCAATATATTATGAACCTGACATCATTATTAATAAAATACTTTTTGGCACTTATATTTTTCACATTTTGAGATATTAAATAGTGTTATATAAGTGTCTTGTATATATATTTTTAGTTAAGAGTAGAGATAATTTATGTCTTGGGGGAAGGGAGAAGACAACCAACTAGAGATTGGCTTTACTTTCTTTGAAGAAAATTGAGCCTAATCAAGACACACACCTGAACATAGGGTGTTTTCAGAGAAAGATGAAAAAATGGATGATTAAGAGCCTAAAGGTTTATGCCACAGCATACAGTGGCAACAACATTAGGACTGGAAATTTTTCCAAGTGGTTGATACCAATCTCCCGATTATTCTGTAAAAAGAAAATACTAATACATCACCCATAGAATGGCTACTTTTAAGCAATTCTATTTCATGGTAAGCTCTCCATGACAAATTAATTGCAAAAATGTATCCCTAAGTAACTAAATGAGTTCACTCCCACTTAAAGAAGTTGAGTTAGAAGCCAATTAATTGTTGAAAGACATTTGCAGAAAAGGGTAATTTTGTTTTAGCATCATTCCTGTTAGATAACAACAGTAGTTAATAGCAGGACCAAATTTTCTGTTGAGGGTGCTTCTAATCGGACTAATAAAGCCATGCATTCTTTTTTCTCTCTCTAGGAGAAGAGAAATTACTAAGATATATATTGTATGTTTTCTGAAACAACCACTTTATAAAATTAATCTTCATAGGGTCATTCAAAATGAAGTTTCTATTATTGGCCTGCATCTTGTGTGTTTCTTTTGCAAAGGTGAGTAAATAGACTTCTAAAATGTAGCAATAGTGTAACCATGGAACAACTGTAGACACGAATTCACGTTATTAACATGTTAGTATAGTGCTGAAAACACTGAAGCAGAGAGACGTGTTAATGGGCATGAGGTTTGTTGTGCCAAACTTTTCAAAAGATATTTTAAAAAGCAAAATAATAAAGTTGTGTTATCTAAATGGCTAACCAGCAAGGAAAAGAGGTTAGTTCAAAAATGCAGTGGGCTGGAGGAGGACAAAGTTACAGGGAACCAAAATCCCGTGTAGATTGTTTTAACAGAGTTTATGTCTTCAAATTACAGAAAGCTGGATTGGGCTTCTTCTGGCAGTGATGTTCCATTGCTGGAAGTGTTTAGGTAGAGTCACAAGGAATACTTGACGGAGTTAAAGTCAATGGACATAATGACTTTAATGTAGCATAAGCAGATGAGACTCTGATGTAAGAGATAGCTGATGGAAAATTCTTAAGCCTAGCCAATGAGTGTGCTAAATATCCTTTTTTGTAAAAGGAGAAACTTATGACACCTTATAGAATGGTTTTGAGCATTAAATATTTATCTAAAGTGCTTATTAGAGTTCCTAGGAACTCAAATGCTGCTTGATATTATTAACTACTATTGCAATTATTATTATCATCCTGGGCAAATTTCAAGATATTACTCTATCTTCTAAAATTACCTGAATTAAACTCTAATTCTTAAAATAGTAAATGATGAGTTTCTACACTATTTTTTATTCTTGGCATAATCTGTGGTGAATTCATAAACTATATTGAAGCTTAATTGGAGAACAAGTGAATATATGATCCTTCTGCAAGTGTAAACAAGTGGAAATTATACTTGCTTGTGCACCCACACACACACACACACACACAGAATGCAAACAAAACCTGAGAATGAAAGACAGCAGTAAAACCAGAAATATGAATAACAGCCAGATGGTCTTTCAGTTGATCTTTCAGATTTACCAATTTCAAACTAAAATCCTTCAGCCAAAGTAAAACTTTCTAAGGCAACTATTGAGCTCAAAAACATATGTGGTGTGCCTGGGTGGCTCAGTTGGTTAAGCATCTGCCTTCAGCTCAGGTCAGGATCTCAGGGTCCTGGGATGGAGTCCCACTTCCGCCTCCCTGCTCAGCATGGAGTCTGCTTCTCTCACTGCGCCCCCACCCCCTGACCCCTGCTCATGCTCACTCGCACTCTCTCTCTCTCAAATTAAATAAATAAAATCTTAAAAAAAAAAAGACATATGTTGATCCCAGGTGGAGCCCAGAGAGCCTCCCTGCTCAGTGGGGAGTCTGCTTCTCCCTCTCCCTCTACTCCTCCCCACCCCTGCACCCCCTCCCCGCTTGTGCTCTCTCTCTCGCTCTCTCTCTTTCAAATAAATGAATAAAATCTTATAAAACAGAAACGCTACTAAAAAGACTGTACAAATTCTTCAGTAATATGGAAATCTGGGCACAGGTGTTTTCAAATAAATAGCCACATTGAATTAATTTTTCCTTTGTTTTAGATGGGCTTCACTTCCCTGATGAGGTGAAACTATTTTCCATTTACATATGAATATGCTTTTTTTTTTTACCTTAAAGTGTATTTTACATTTTAAAAGTCTCTGATTTCTATACAATGCAGTTTTGTGACTACTATTGCTGTTAAAATATTAGTGCTATTAATCTATTCTTATTTGATAGAAAAATGTTTATGGAACACAAATATATTTGTGTTTAACCTATTTCCCATAAGGTCTTTATTTCTTTTCAATGAGCAGAAGCACTAAGTACGTGCACTCTCTCTGCAGTGTGATAAAGTTTTTGCTATGCTCGATTTTCCTCTACGTGCCTCTATAAAATTTATGACAGTGTACTAAACTTACTTGAAAAAATTAAGTGATGAATCTGGAAAGGTTGTGCCTGTATGAAAGATCAGAGCAGAAGAAAGCATGATCTAGGAATTACTAGCAGAAAGAATGTGTCCCAAGGAGCTAGATAACTTCTGGGCAGAAAATACCCACAGAGTATCCCTCTGTAGGAGACCACAGCATTCATCAATTAACTGATAGTAGATTTTTTTAAGTTCTTTGTCATTTTTGCCTCCTATTCTGATGACAGGAGTGTGCTAAGAAAATTATACTTGCACCTACCCACAAGTCTGCACTAGATAAACATGACAATCTGGAAAAGAAAAGCCAAGAGATGCGGTCTGCATATGCACACTTTTGACCCAATACCATGAGACATATGGCAAAGCTGTAGAAAGGTTTTGAAAATAACTGAAAATGAAAATGGTACAAAATATTCTTTTGAATTTCTTGTAAGAGTTAATATTTTACTTATGAGAAACTAGGGCTCTATGGTCACAATACAAATCACTGACATTTGTCTCTGTGAACACTCTGAAACCTGTAGCACTTGTGCATCATGCATCATACTTAAGGATGAAAATATGCCTAAGGAAACATTTTTAACTCAGTAATTCAGGAAACCAAACTAAATTGGAAAGAAATATTATATACAATATTAAATTACTTTTTTCTTCCATGTTTTATTTGAGTATAATTGGCACACAATGCTATATTAGTTTCAGGTGTCTAACATAGTGATTCAACTTCTCTATATGTTATGCTATGCTCACTACAGGCATATCTACAATCTGTCACTATAAAGTGCTATTACAATGTCATGGATTATATTCCCTACTCTGTCTTTTTTACTCCCATGACTTACTCATCCAATAGGTGGAAGTCTATATCTCCCAATACCCTCCACCCATTTTACCCTCCTCCCACCCCCTTCCCTCTGGAAATGATCAATTTGTTCTCTATATTTAAAGGTCTTTTTCTACTTTTTGTCTATTCATTGTTTTGTTTTTTATACAATATTAAATTTTAATGAGGAAGCTGGCCTGGCTGGGAGATGTAGTAACTAGGTCTGAACAAAGAAACCTGGTGTGTTCTTTCCAGTACTTAGGATCCCAATATCTAGCACATGGACAGCACACAGTAGGCACTCATCTTATACTTTTTAAAAATAAATCCTTGATTGTCCATCAAGAAAAAGCTTAAAATATCCCAAAGCCACTGAGGAACAATCTGCATTTATTGAGATTTATATTGCAAGGCCTTGTTTAGTCACAGGGAATTTTGTAATAAACACAAATGATGCTCTAATGTAAATATCTGGTGTAAATAAGCCAATTGTGCCCTGTATATGAAAGTTTCTAAGTAAATATGAACGAGAAATTTAATGATAGTGTAGAAACACTGGCACTAATAGAATATTAATTTTAGCCATTGCATATCTATTTTGTAAGAATGTATTTAGAAAACAGAAGAGTCTACATAGTCACAGGAAAACAAGGCAAACAACTCTATCACTTAAGAAAGAAAATGCCAAGTTGCTTGGAGAGTTTTGTCAGTTATAGTCACTCTGAATGTAGGTAGAGCTCTAAAGAATGGTATTTTTCAGTGGCCTGGAATTTAAAACAAACATTATTTTCTTTGTCGTTTTAGAAAGTTCTCTCTTCTGGTGAAGAGGTAAAATATATTCATATTTATTTATATTTTAAGATATTAAAATGTAGTCTATATTATTTTCTTTTTAAAATAGTATTTTTAAAAAACAGTGTTTCTATCTAATAATGTTAAATAATTCAGTTTAATGTTTTTTTTTCTTGAAAAGCTAAGTAATTTAGAAACACGTTCTTTGCTTGCCATGATGGGCTCATTAAAAATACATATATAAATATAAGCATATGTGTATTTATATATCCTGTAATTTTCCTATTCATAGTGATATCTTGTCTGGTTTCACTGCCAGCACTTTAGATTAAAGGATTTAAACTGAAATTTAAAGTTATATATCATAGAAAAGTACTGTTGATAAATAAGGCAATATTTTCTAACAAATATGAAAACTGGATCTATGATAAATGGTGTCTGCCACTGACAAGTTAACTTGGAATATATGTAAAGAAAATGTCTGTCAACTGGCTCACATTAACATAAACACATAAGAAATGTTAAATATAGTTTATAATATTTTAAAATATGTATGTTAAAAACATTTAAAATTCTTTAAATTATAATTAAGCTATGCAATGAATCAAATAATCTAGAATCTTGATATATAAACCAATATATACCAAAATTGCATGAAACATTTGTGATAGTAAATAAAATTTTATGGATGTGAGACCAAGAAATGTCTTAATTTTCTGTAAATTCCTGCATAATTTTGGGACCTTGGAGCTCCCCGCCAGTCTCACATACACGTAATAGACAAATGTGGGACAACTGGAGGTTGTAGAGGTCCTTCTACAGAAAGAAATAATTTGAAATTTAATAGTGAATGCATCAGCAATATTAATAATCCTCTCATTTAAAACACAAACAGCACAGGGAAAATTAAATGTCAAAAGCCAGTAGTAGATATTGCAAAATGATAACCACATTAAGTCTAGTTAACATTCTTCACCACACAGTTACAATTTTTTTTCTTGTGATGAAAACTTTTAAGATCTACTGTCTTAAAAATGTTCAAATATACAATAAGGTATGAACTATCATCAATTATATCTCAATTTTAAAAAAACAAAAAAGCCAGTAGTCACTCATCCACATCCAGTCTGCTTTCCTTCTTAATAACAATTTGAGATGCTTGGCCTTGATGAGTGGACAAGGATGCTACAGGATGGGGGAGGAGACCAAAAGGGTGCCTGGAAGGGGTATATCTAAGTGAATGCTTTGGTGGGGCACTTAAGATGTCTGGGAACAATGAGAGCAGTGGGCTGGGCAGAGGGTACAGAGAAGAAGGCCTGCCTGGAAATACCAGTTCTATACTGTGCACACGCTTTCCTTCTATTTCTCTCCTGGCCTAAGCTGGCATATTGTTCAGTTTATAACACTCTGATTTGCTTAAACACAAAATATTTCTCCCAGAATTGAGATTTATTCAGTTTTCTCAAGAGATTATTAGTTTCAATCACGAAAATTATGGAAGCATGTTACCCTTAAGAAAGAGACTAAATTGGAATGCTTACAAAAAATAATCTTCACTCGTTGTATAGCATCATGGTCATAACATGGGTAATATATAGATAGGTTAGGTATAAACAATCAACTTTCACTGATTTCTTTGCTTCTCCTTTAGGATTACAGTGGCAATCATTACCCTCTTGACCCATCTCTGAATATTCTGTATCCCACATCAGGCCTTAATTTTGCTCCTCCTTTTCGTCCTTCAAGGAATAAAATCCCCAGTTACCCTGGGAATCCTGACCCTGATTCAGGGGTACCCTCGTATCCCTGGATTCTCAATTCTCCAGGAGCCCTCCTCTACCACAGTCCTAGTTTTACCATAATTACTTCGTCGGTCCCCTCTTCTCCTCAGATATCTTCCTACTTTGTCCCTCCCTTGAGCAGACTTGAAGGACCTTTTATCCCCCTCAGTGCTCCCATGCCTGTGGCTGCTGAGCCCCATATATCTACACCTCTTGTAACTACACCTACTACACCTCCCAACCCAAAGCTTATTGCGGTTGAGCCTGGGCCCCTAGAGTCTGATGAAGCCGAGCCTGCTGCTTCAGAACCTCAGCCTTCTTGACTAGGTGGGTTGCCTAAACCTTACTCCCATAGAGCACGGAATTTGTAGGAGATAGAAAAAAGTGAATCTCCCCATAAGCAAACAAATATCAGATTAAACATTTTGAACAGCTTTATTAAGATACAATTGGCCTACAGCAAACTACAGATACTGAAAATGTACACCATGGTAAGTTTTGACATATCTATATACCTATGGAAAAAAAAATCCCACCCTCCCCTTTCTCCTATCCCTAATCTATTTTCTGTCCTTACAGACTGGTTTGCATTTTCTAGAATTCCATGTTAACAGAATAATACTGTAAATACTCTTTTTTTTGTCTGGCTTCTTTCACTCAGCATAATTATTTTGAAATTTGTCCACGTAGTTAAGTACATCAGTAGTTGTGTTTTTTTTTTTTTTAGGGTAGCATTTCATGATACAGCCATATCATATTTTTTTTTTACCCATTCATCTGTTAGTAAGCATTTTAATTTCCAAACTGGATGCTACTGATTTATTTCCATTTTTTTGTTAATGAATACTGTACTGGTTTAAACCTCCAGTCTGTCAGTGTTAAATAAAAGTGATCAGATAGACCTCCCTGCCTTGTTTCTGATATTAAGGGAAAACATTGTTTTTCACATATACACATGCTCATGAGCTTTATTTTAGGATGGCATTAGATTACTATGCTGTTAAGGCTTTCAAGCAGTAACAAAGAAACATTTTTATCTAAGGCTCCTTTTTCCCATTACAGAGATCAAACCATTCTGAGTACTCAAGTTTATGCCCTGTGAATTTGGGGATTTTTTTTTTTACTCTTATGAGATCAAAAACTTTTCCCTGCCCTCTGTGAGCACTAGATATTGTTCCACTTTGTCTTTCAGTGGTTTTTTAAACCTGGCTTCAGGGGGTATCTTCATGTGAATATCCATACTCAGTTGAAAATATGAGGGTGACCTCTTTAGATCTCTGTATTTTATCTTTGTCCCTCGCTTTCCTCCCCGACGCTCTGCCCCGTGAATTTCAGCTACCTTGTCTTCCTGGACTCCTAGCTCCATCTCCCTCCACGAACGAAGGCCAGGAAACTCTCCAGGCAGTAAGCTAGGACAGTCATAGGGTTCACTTCATTTGCTTCCTGTCTCTTAGGGATCACTGTCCTTCACCATTTAATGTTCAGATCTCAAGAAGCTGCTGCTTCTGCGACGTTTGGTATCTTTTTAAAAATGTTTTCCAAGTAAGAGGATAAAACCACTTTCTGTTACTCATCTTGACCTAAATTATACTTTTTAAAAATAATCATTCTTTAAAACATCTTTAAGAAGCACCTATTCCCTAAGTTTTAGTGGATGTAGTCCAAGCAATGGCTATTTTATAAAAGGGAAAGTGGGAGTCCCAACTACATGGAAGATACTCTGAATTCAGGGCACAGGCTGAAAAGAAATGGGAGCTTAAATCCACCAGTGAATAAATTCTGCCGTACATTGCCACTAATCAAATGCTGCTAGCAATTGTTTCCTACATGGAGGTACAAATTTTCTTCCTGTTCCCTTGTTTCTGATAAAGAGCAGGATCAAGTTAAAAGGTTGTTTGAAATTGCTCCCGAGAAGTCGAAAGAGCTAGCCTTATTCTACAATGCTCCTCACGTCAACAAGTTTATTCAGTAGGTTTCTTTAATTCAAAGCACTGTCCAACTACCAGCATATGCTGTGGCTCACATGGGGGTAGAGGGAAAATGTTGGAAAGTATGCATAAAGAGAAATAGGACTTGATAAAAATGGGCCTTGAAAACACTGCTAAATATTTGGACTTTTTCCTTAGCCAAAGGAATTTATCAAGAATCTTCACTGAGAAGAATGATTTGACCAGTTCTCTATTTTCAAAAGCTAAATATGGTGGCAATCTAGAGTATTCTAAATATGAGTTATAAAGAGATCACCAGGATACAACTTCCTAGAGAATAAAGATTATTCAGGAAAGATAGGCCCAATATAATGAATGAAGTACATTTTACAATGCATGAAAGATCTTTTTTTTTTTAGATAAAGAAATGAAATTTTCTAGAAAAGAGAGTAACAATCATTTATTTCTGTAAGTCATACATGATACTGAGATTTAAAAATCACACATTAAATAGACTAAATCTCTGAAACCACCTTGGAATATATTTTTACTACATGAAAATGAGAAAGTGGGGTGTAGAGAGGCATTTGTCCTGTGTCCTACAGCTTCTGCAATTATAAACTTCTGTCTTGGGTAAGGAACTTAGGAACTGAGTAGATAGTTCTTCCTTAAATTAATCCAAATTGATTATGATGAATATTCTAAAATAATAGTGGTCGATAGAAGGAAGAAACTTCCATAGGAGGTATAGGGGTTGAATTGTGGATGAGAGGAACCATTACTAAAGCTGACACAAGTCATTCTGTATTATATCCATTCAGCTTCCCTTCTTACCCCACACCAAGAACCACTGCCTTAGAAAACAGGAACAATGATTTAGATCTGAACTCTCCCAGTCCCCACCCCTTCCCCCAACAAATGTGTCTTCCATCCCCTGTTATACATTATCTTGGGAAGAAAGGCATTGGTCAAAAAGTTCATTTGTGCACATTCTACCTGAGTTCACCTAAACAAAAATTTGGTTGCCCTCATTCCAAGTTCTTACTCCTTCATCACATTCAAAAGCCATTCCACTTTTACTGTTATAAAATTGGACAGGAAAATGTCAAGGCTTTATTTTACTTTATTTTGCAAGCCAAATCAGAATTTCTATTGAGGTGACATCAGTAATTAAAGTAGAATTGAAAATCAAATGTGAGGGCAGTTAATATTGTTGGTGATGCCTCTTAATAACAGTTATTGTCAAGACAATTAAAAAGCTTCAAATTTTAATATTGCTATATTCTTTGGTTTTTACTTATTTTACTATTATATAAGATCAAAAGATATTGGTTGGTAAATCAGTTCAAGATAGGCCAATTTAATAATTTCATATTTTCAGTAAACATTTATGTTTAGTTTCTTACTATATTAATTACTTAATTCATAACAAGTAACAGAGAGAGTGTGCTACTTTTCTGGAAAAATCTCTTAAGGCAGAGAAGGAATTCTATTTTATATCACTCAGTATCAGAAGATTGTGTTGATCTGGACCCAAGGCCCTCACACAAAGGAATCCTATATAATATATACATGCATGCAAATAAAGCATGATACTGAATGAACATTGCATTTTAAAATAGTTACAAGACTGCATGCGTAATATATACAAGAAGAAGAAAATAAACTTGAGTCTCTTAAACGTGTATCTTAATCATAGTATAGATTTGTAGGTGATCTTTCAATATAGACCTTTAACATTAAAATCACAAAACAATATTTTGCTGTGTGAGTAATTTTATCATTCTATTATATAAAACTAATATGTTATTTTCCTTTTTCCAGATATTGTTGAACAAATCAATGAAATCTACAAAAATCTACTTTCTTTTCCAGACTTTCATTCTTTTATATTAAAAACACTATTCTCCCATATTGATTGGCTTGTCATTTTTTTTTCATCAGACCTCATTTACACAGAAATGATGTTCATGTTGTACTTTTCCCACTCAAAATTTTAAAAGGCTATTTCCTAAATATGTAAATAATTGTCAAAGATTTAAACATATGTTGGCAATATGTGTCTTTCTTTTGAATAAACACTATCTAGAAAGAACCCAGCACAAATAGAATTTTTTAATGGTTTGTTTCCAAATTATTTCTTTTGAAAATGTGACAGAAGGTAGTTAAAGGGGAGACAACCATCATTCCACAGCTCCCCCCCTTTTCCTTCCCTCGAAATGTTTCATCTACTTTTTAAAATATTTATTTAGGGGCGCCTGGGTGGCTCAGTCGAATAAGCATCTGCCTTAGGCTCAAGTCATGATCCCGGGGCCTAGAATCGAGCCCTGTGTCAGGCTCCCTGCTCAGCAGAGAGCCTGTTTCTCCCTCTCCCTCTGTTGCACCCCCTGCTTGTGCTCTCTCTCTCTGTCAAATAAATAAATAAAAAATCTTTAAAAAAATAAAATATTTATTTAATATCAATTCACATTACACTTACCAGTGCTAAGCACTCTTCTAAGCTCCTAGTCCTGGAGGTCAAAAATCAATTTTACTGGGCTGAAGTTAATTGGAAGGGCCATGGTCCCTGGATAAGCTTTTGGAGAGCTTTGGCTCTTCCAGCTTCTTTCTGTGGCTGCTAGCTTTCTTTAACTTGTCTCTGGATCATTCTAATTTTCAAGGAATGTATCATCACATCTTTGTCTGCTCTGAGATTTCCATTCTTTTCCTCCTGTGTGTGTCCAAATCTTCCTCTGCCTCCCTCTATAAGAATACATGTGACTGCACTTAGGACCCACTCAGATAATCCAATCTCTCCATTTTAAAATTAAAATCACAATTTAATTTAATCACATCTCTCAAAGAGGTATTTTTGCCAAATAAGGTAACATTCACAGTTTCCAGGGATTAAAACAAAGATCTCTTGTGGAGACACTTCATATCCTACCACAGTAACAACAGATAGGATTTAGACTGAAGTTAGGTGTTGCATTGATGAAAGAATACTTAGTTGAATCACTGTACTCAGACATGAGAAGATGGATGGTATTTGAGCAATGAACCAGTGCTTTGGCAAACACACAGCTTCATATCTTCAAGTATATGAATCCCCATAAGTCAGTTCCTAGTGAAGTCTGTTTGAACCTGAAAATCAGGAGAAAGAAAATGTACTTATAAAGCTGAGATCCTGCTAACAGAGTTGACTCTACATGAGGTAGGAAGGAAAGGAACTTAAATAAGAAGTAGGTTAATATTTTTAAGGCTCCCCTGGGACTGCTTACAAGTAGTAGAAGGAGAAACCAGGGCAGAGGGGCACTGATGGAAAGTGTGGTGGGAAAGTGTGGCAGCGTGATGTATCTGCTGCTAGCACAGTCACATGGGTTACACCTGGCCTGGAAAATTCAGAAGCGGAGAAAAAAGTTTTGAAATTTTGATTCTTTGGGGCCCCAAAAGACACAAACTTTGACATCATTACAATTTTGACTCATTTTAAGATTGTGCATTTAGTAACACAGTAATACTATTATTATCCCCATTTTAAACATTAGGAAACAAACATGTAATTAGCAACAAACATATAATGAAGATCTTTAAGAACAAGGGAGGAACACTAAGAGGACAAAGGAAACCTTGGATAAAAGTTAAATAATAACAATGTCCCAACATGCAAAAACATTCAAAAATTTTGAAATCTCAATGCCACTGTCTAAAAAGACCTTATGATGTGAGTAAAATTTCCCCAATAAAATAAATGGTGTTACAAATGACAACAATCTGAGAAACTCCTGATGACAGTACTTACCTTCAGTTATAAGTAAAAATAACTGGCACAACTAGCTAGTATCCTATGGAAGTGGGAACATTAATCTTCTCTCCTTTCTCATTGTTTCTCTATCCTCCCACATACTAAGTTTTGACAAGCAAAAACAATAAGACAGAGATCAACACTATACTCACTTCTAGGAGTTCTCTTGGAAACTTCCTGTAAGAATGAGAATTTATGGCCCAGATTGCAGTTGCTGAGTACAAGACCCCATTCCATCCAGCAGGGTTAATGAAATCCTCAGACTCACCTGAATAAGAAAAGGAGGAAATCTTTTTTTTTTTTTAAGAGAACTTTGCAAGGAGAAAGAAATTTAATTTTTGAGAGTTTAAAAATTGGAAGAAATTTGTATGACTTAATTTCAGTGCAATTTTTTATCACTGACTGGGAGTCAACCTTAATTAGTAGATGAGAAATATTCAGTTTGACTTATTCCTGAGCCTTCTAGGAGCAGAAGCTGAACTGCTCACTTTTTTTTTATTTAAATTCAATTAGCCAACATATAGAACATCATTAGTTTCAGATGCAGAGTTCAGTGATTCATCAGTTGCATATAACACCCAGTGCTCATCACATCACGTGCCCTCCTTAATGCCTGTCACCCAGGTACCCCATCCCCTGACCCAATTCCATTCCAGTAGCCCTCAGTTTCTTTCCCATAGTTAAGTGTCTCTCATGGCTTTTCTTCCTCTCTGATTTCTTCCCATTCTTTTTTTCCCTCCCTTTCCCTGTGATCCTCTGTGCTGTTTCTTATATTCCTTATATGAGTGAAACCATATAATTGTCCTTCTCTGATGGACTTATTTCACTCAGCATAATATCCTCCAGTTCCATCCATGTCGATGTAAATGTTACGATTTCATCCTTTCTGATGGCTGAGTAATATTCCATCGCGGATATATACCACATCTTCTTTATCCGTTCATCGGTTGATGGACATCCCGGCTCTTTCCACAGTTTGGCTATTGTGGACATTGTTGCTATAAACATGGGGGTGCACGTACCCCTTCGGATCACTACATTTGTATCTTTGGGGTAAATACCTGGTAGTACAATTGCTGGGTCATAAGGTAGCTTTATTTTTAGCTTCTTGAGGAACCTCCATACTGTTTTCCAGAGTGGCTGCACCAGCTTGCACTCCCACCAACGGTGTAGGAGGGTTCCCCTTTCTCCGCATGCCCGCCAACATCTGTCATTTCCTGACTTGTTAATTTTAGCCATTCTGACTGGTGTGAGGTGGTATCTCATTGAGATATTGATTTGTATTTCCCTGATGCCAAGGAATATAGAGCATTTTTTTTCATGTGCCTTTGGTCATTTGTATGTCTTCTTTGGAGAAATGTCTGTTCATGTCTTCTGCCCACTTCTTGATTGGATTATTTGGTTTTTGTGGTGTTGAGTTTGATAAGTTCTTTATAGATTCTGAATACTAGCGCTCTATCTGATATGATATCATGTTTCATGTTCTAAAGACAAGGCAAACTGTCTCTTCTGCTATCTTTCCAATCTCAGGAAACTGCCGCCCAATTCTTGGAGCCTCCTTTACCCATCTCTTTTACCCATAAACCACATCTAAGCTGTCAGTATGCACTGTCAGCTCTACCTCTGGAATATATGCACAATCTAATAAAGTCTCACCATTTCCACTGCTACCATCTGGCCAAAGCCATCATCATTTCTTCCTTGGATTACTGCAACAGCTTCCAAACTGCTGCCTCTGTAAACCTTATCCATCCATTATCTCTTCCAACCCTAAATCAGATTGTATCATTCCCCTAACTCTGAGAAGTTGCATGACTGCCAGTATCAGAATAATTCCTGTTTGCTACCCTTAATAACAGGACTTCTCATTACCTCTATGATTTTGGTCTTCTTTCAAGCATTAGTTAAAATAAGCTGATTCCTGTAACATAGAACCCCAAAATCTCAGCAGCTTCATGTAGCAATTATTTCTCAATTACACCACAGTCCACTGGAAGTTGGATGGCTCTGCCATTTCCTTCAAATAGTGAATCAAAAATCCTGTGTTCCTTTCAGTGTATGTCTTATCTCAAAATATTCTGCTTCCATTGAAGCTCATAGGGGAAAGAAAGGAGGTGAAAGATTTCAAGAAAAGTTTTATGACTGGGTCTGAAAAAGGAATCCTCATTTCTGTGCATCTTCCATTATTTAATAGGCAAGCATATGTTCCCAATGTAATAATAAGGGTAATTGAGAAAAACTAGATTGGTGAATATAGAACCTATATCTGCACACCTCACCTTGCTAGGTAAAAAGCATCCATTTTACTCTTCCTCCTAAGCGTACAGCACTGTCACTTTCTTGCCAATTAGACAAAATTCAGGATTACAACTCTCCACCAAACTGTTATGTGACTCCTCCTGCTCCTGAAAATTGAGCTGAAAAGACAAGTTATTTGCCCAACAAACATACCCAATGTGCAATGATAAAGCTGAGACGGGGATAAACAAAACAAGCACTCCCACTCGGAAACAGTCATCACTGTCCGTAACAGTACTAAAATTTCACTCAGCAGATATTGTAAAGACTTGAGATGAAAGAAGTTCCCTAACTTTTCTTTCTCTCCGGAAATAAATACTGGATCCATTATTCTCTTCAGTCATACTTACAGTGGATTTTCCATCCTTGGTGGCTTTCAAAGCCTACTGTCTGTTGTGGAAGACTGGCAGCTCAAGAATTCGTTATTTTAGGTCTCAAATAGTCAAAGGATTTTTTTTCAGTCTGAGCTCAAGGTTTCTCTGATAATCTAGTTCAATAAAAAATCTTGTAGGAATCTGATCTACGTGCCTCCAGTCAATTACATGTGCCAGTGACTACATCAAATGTCCTTTTCTAAAATAATTTTCTGTCAGCCTGTGCTACTCTCTCTTAATTTGCTAATGACTTCAATAAAGTCTTCAGGGAAAATATGTGGGACTATGACACTATTAATCTGACCTTTTCCCTGAGTCACTTTAAAAGATTTATTTGGCCTTTGTTGCTCAAAAACTTTCTAAATCTCGTTACTTACTATTTGGGGTGTGTAAGAAATCAGCTTTCC